TCCCATTATTTAGCTTAATCTTTTCAATTTTATGTTGAACTTTATTTTTATCTTTAAAATTATCAATTAATCATCCCTATAAATTTTAAATATGATAGAATTACAATTAGAGTAAATTACCAGTAAATCCTATATGGTAGAAAGTTAAACCATTTATCCTACAAGTTTTCTACACACCATTTAGTCCCACTATCTACATCAGCAACATCAACAAAATCATTAACATCATCAAAACATTAGCTACATTAGCAACATTAACTGCACCAATCGACAATATCAACATTAACAAAACATTCATAAAAACAAAAAAATGTGAAATAATCAATTTCCAAATCAATTCTTTGCAGTCTCGATACAAATCAAAACACAAACAGATTGAACACGTACATACACGCGATCATATATATATATATATATATATATAAAAGCCCTAAATGTCGACGATCAAATTATATACATATATATCTATATTGGCGGTTGGTGTTGAGATGTGGCGGAGATGGATCATTCGTATCAGCGCCGGAGAGGAGTGGTGGTGCCGGAGCCGTGCCCTCACTTGGCGGAGTTCCGATCGCGGCGTGGTGGTGCGAAGCCGTTCAGGGCGTTGCAGGAGTGTCTGAGGGTGCGCCCGCCAGGCCGTGCGGCGATCCGCAGGGACCCCAACGAGGTGCCGCGTTACGCCTCCTGCGGCTCTTCCACACCGCCGCGGCTCTATGCCTGTGAAGATTTCGAGAAGCCCAATCGAAGGCGATGATGAGGTCCATGACCAAATCACGAGTTAGGATTCCATCGGAGGGATAAAAGATGGGGATTTGGGGAGGAGTTGGGGATGATGGTGGAATATGGGTTTGGTTGTTGTCATCAGAAGAAGATGAAGATGCGAAAGAGGCCGAGGAGATGTGGGTTTTTGAGGTGTGTTCCGAATCAAATCTGGGTTTCGATCTGAGATGTTTTTAATGTTATGACGATGTTTGTTCAAAAAAATTGTTAGGATGATGTTTGATCAAAAAAAAATTGTTATGATGATGATGTTTGATCAGAAAAAATTGTTTAATCGTTATTTTTGATGTTTGATATTATTTTAATTGTTATTTTGATGTTTAATCGTTATTTAAAAA